TTTTTCACAAGAATTATGTTAATGGTTATGATTTCGGTTTAGCCGTCAATCATTCTGTTGAGTGTAAGGTTAAGCTGATTTTGGCATCCAATAAATTGAATATAGAAAATATGCCCAAACAGCAAGAGTCAAAACACAGTTCCTGCATTGTGCCAGATTATGTTTCACAGTTCAATCATAACAATCCCTGTCCACACAATAAAGAAAGAAATCCATTGAAAGATCCAAAACTAACTGAATAAATATATAAGTCCAACCCAAGTGAATGCAAAGGATAAAAGGGCACGTACAATCCCGTTACCATGGACTCCCCCCTTCGTATTGAGCATGAAGATGAAGAAAGCGTAGAGAGAAATCTCGCAAATCCCCAAGAAAAACAAAATGCAACGCAAAGAAACAACCTCCGGGGAATTGTCCCCATGACTGCGAAGCAATAACATCCCTCCCCGTTGCCCCCTGGTCAATAGCAATAAACAAATCTCTCATATAATATTAACGTCACTAATGCCAAATTGTTTCCCCCCTCAAAGTGCAACAGTTTTGCTTTTGGCAAACAGAATGAAACAATATTTCTGGAGAAAGCAGCGGTCCTTGAAGAAAAACATGAAAATTTAGGTTATTGAAAATAAATATTTGTGCATGAAGACCGCGTCAAAATTGTGGATAAACTTAAAATTTTCGTAACAAATCAGTTGAATTTTCCACCATTTCACGTCCAGCATATCTCATTTAATGAATGCCTCTAGCTCCATTTCGACTTCTCGTTACTTCCGGGCAGGGTTATTTATGTCTTTTAACTTTTCATTCTGTCGACTTTTCCAGTTCATTTGGTGCACCCAAACGGCACTTGAATGGTTTAACTTTTATCCGGCACTAACCCGTTGATGGCAAGCCAACCACGTTTTAGACCAACAGAGGAAGGGCTTATCCTTTCTCGTTCTCAAATGTAATAGCAAGAAAACTTTTTCCTCCTGTTTCATTGAGACAGTCGCTTTCCTTTTTCCGCATCTCATGAATGGAGGGAAACTTTAAGTGAACAAATAAAAAAAGCAACATAATTAATTACCGTTCACTTGTTTTAACGCTGTCATACAACAGCTTGGTGTGTTTTTGGTTTATCGATTTCTGTTTAATAATATTCAATACCGAATAGCTACCAGACGAGATTGGACGTACTAGAAGCGTATCCCGAGTAGACAGAAATTACTGACCAATAGAAAAGCTCGACATAGAAAATCATAAAACCTATGAACAGTAACAGTTGTGAAAATCCACCGATATTAGTCATGGGCAAATCATCCACGGCGCAGCTAATTATTGTTCAACTTACCCGTGCAGCAGCTGAATCCAAAAATGTCCTTTCACCAACTGACAGGAAATGTGTCAGATATGTCATGACCTACCTAGTTATTATCCATCTCATATCTTCCCTCTCCTTTGGTATAAAAGTTATAAAAAGTATTTTTAAACAATAATTTATGATAATTAATTACTGAATCTTGATCCATCGCTTTCTGTTATCGTAATCCCAGGTCCCGCAGTATAGCCTTCATTTGGTGCTTGATGATCGGTATGCCATCCGCCGAGTGCAACTCGCGTGCTGTAATGATGAACAGTTCTTTGAACTGCTGCGTCCGGTGCACGGATAGAAATCTCCTTATACCTTTTGGCAAATTTCTATTGCTGATTATTCATAAAATGTATAAGTCAACTAATAAGCAGACGCCTTGCAAAAAGTTAATGAAGCTCATGTGTCAAATGAAATGTATAAGCGGTCACACATACCTTTAATGCATTATTGTAGGACCTATGTGGTTTGTCTTATGGAATGTATAAGGCTGATGCTTTGGCAAAAATGTATAAGTGAAACACATGAATAAAATAATTGATTTTCGTTTCGTGTGGGTCAGCTTTCTGGCGTGCTCTGTTAGGAAAATCTCTGAACACTGCAGTGCTTCTTCCGAGTGTAGATAGTGCAAATCCAACACGTCCACATTGTTCAGCGTCAGCTTGTGCACCTCCATGATGGCATTCGAGGCCTTACTGCTGTACATATCGATTTTGGTTCGATGAAGCCGGGCAACCTGGATATAGTACTCGGCCACACCGGCCATGCCCCGCTGAATGGCATTCCGTGCCTTCTCGTGGCATGCGTTTTTCAGTTCCTGGTGGTCCTGGGACATATTGCGGCATTCTTCGGCCGTTTTGAGGTGAAGATTGATGTCGTCTTCACTGAATGACGGTACCTGCTCGACCGTTGGAGGCAGCGACATTGAGCACGAAGGAAGTGGTTTCTGTTTTTCAGCTTCTGGTCGCTTCATAAGGGCTTCCCGTTCGCGGGCGATTTGGTTTTTCAGCTCTTCCGGAATAGAATTGTTTAGGACGGTTATAGTGTCGCTGAATTTGTAGGCATGTAGGATTTCTGCCAGGACTTCCTCGTCAATAACAGGATACATTTCGGCTAGCTTTTGACGAGTCATATGCGAGGCCAGATCTTGCGGAGCTTGCTTAGCCCAGCCGTTGATTTCGCTTCGGTACGCCGTTAGGGCGTACTCCATTTCCATAATGTCGTTCAGGTTGGGGGAATCCTCGATGGTCTTTTTGAACAAAACGGGATACTTTTCCTTCGCTTCCATTTGCTATGCCAATCGAGCATCTTTTTTCATATAATCTTGCTTTCTCCCTGCAGCTGTACATGGAATCCAAGAACGTCAAATACAACTGTTCTGCCATTTCGGTAGCCATGAAAACCTTTGTTCGTTCATTGGTTAGTTCGTCTAAGAAGATGGCACCCGAGCCATGCTTATCCTTGAAAGTGGCGTGTAGCTGGCTTTTGAGATTAATTCCCAACGTCACTTCCAGCACTTCGGGATCGTTTTGCAAATCTTCCGCTTTGTCTTTTCTTTTCGTTGTGTTCCGGGGTGATTTCGAGCTGACGGTAGACTGATCGATTTCGTAACCCCCCCTCCACCATCACCACTACCGGAGGGATCACCGGAGGGCACTTGCGATAGGGTTAACTACCCCATTTCCGGCCTATTAAGCACAACCCGCACTAAGTCTTTCTTAATCTAGCACAGTTTAGCACCAAACGGAATGTTATTATTACTGATGGCTTCCAAATTTATTTACCCTTCCGTACGTACCGTAAGATTTGATAAAGAGAAACCAATCGTTGAGATATTGTCAAAAGTCTAACACTGCTTCTTGACGCCAAATTCGGCCTACGGATTCTAAACTCGGCCTAACGCATTGAAACGCAACTGAAACGCCAATGAATTCACTTCGGCCTATCGGATGGAGATAAAAATTGATTCGGTCGGAGCGCTTCTTTTGTTTTTGGGAATAATGGGTTCAAACCTTCATATCACGCGTTCTCATTGACGTCGTTCGGTAGCTTATTAACTAAAGTATCGTACCAAACGCATACTTGACTTATTAACTCTGAAATCATGGATTTATTTGAAGTTTTCTGCTCTCTAGGCTCAAAATGAGCGATTAGGCCGAAGTAGTTCTCTACCCTACCATTGTTTCATGGCAATCATATTCAAACGCGAGTAGGCCGCCAACCGCACCGACTTCCAAATTATCCGCTGTCTCGAATTCGTATGTCAGCAACAGATTTGCTGTCCAATCACCGTGCCCATTGCAATTCTCGATCGAATCCCACAGATACTGGACCGGAATCTGGGGATAGAGGATGCAAATATCCGAGAAGCTAGTGTTTTCATTTTTGCATCCTTGTCTGTGCCTGACCAATCCGTTTCTTTTCCGATTTCTTAATTTTGCTGGGCTTTACCGGCGTCACACCTGTGAAAATCCGTCCTCACTCGTTTTCTCAGAACGGCCGTCCCGGTCACGTTCAAATTTCCAATTTTCCTTGCAAGTGGGTGATTTGCCCTTTATTACCTATCGGTGGTCTCCAAGATTCCAGGTTCGTCTCCTGGCAGGATCGCCAGAAATGTGAAAATCCGCCGATATTAGCTATGGGCAAATCACCCACGGCGCAGCTAATTATTGTTCAACTTACCCGTGCAGCAGCTGAATCCAAAAATGACCTTTCACCAACTGACAGGAAATGTCAGGCATAACATTTGATAATGGCACAAAAGCATTTGTAAACAAACTTTCTAAGGCCCTTTACACGCAAACCAAAGTGCGCCCACGCAAACCAACAACATCATCGGACAAGGGCAACTATCACCTTTCCACAAGTGGTATTGGTTTGCGTGGGCGTACTTTAATTAGCGTGCAAATGGCCTTAGAAAGTTTGTTTACAAATGCTTTTGTGCCTTTATCAAATGTTATGCCTGATGTGTAAGAAAAGTCATGACCTACCTAGTTATTATCCATCTCATAACAGTATGATTATCCAGACAGTCTAAGAAAGATTCTTAACACGATTTAAGATTTTAAACTGCAGAACACAAGTAAATTAAAGACACTGCATATGTGTTGCCGAAATCGAACAGACACTGTATAAATATTTGTATGAACGATTGTCTACGCAAGAGTTTCAAAATTACTTTTCAGTCACTTTTGAAATTTGAAAAGTGAAGCCTCAGAACACAAGCTCAGAACCAACCACCGGACCTATCTGAAACATATTTCCCAACATGGAGTAATTGCTGCATCATAACAACTATGGAAACATCGATAAGTATACAAACTTCAACCAATGGCATTTTCATCACCGTTTCGAAGATCACGCTGAGAGGCGACCTCCATCTAATGAAAACAGTTTGTTTACCACCGATTGGTAAAATTCGCTTTGCATTACTCCACCCATACGATCCACCCAACATGATCTGAATAGTCGCATAGATGTTTACGCAGCGCAGATATGCTTACGAAATTTTTTCGCTTCATTTCAACTCACTGTAGCTTTTTGGTGCATCAATATAAAAATCACGCCTGCCGAACGGCAGGAGATCATTCATCGACTACCATCACAGCAGCTGAGATCAGCTAGAAAATTACTGAGGCACTGTTCGATTAGTTACGGCATCACAAACATGAAGGTAAAGATATTTAAAAAATAACGTATGTTGCAGCTCACCAGTGAGATTCATTCGATTCCATTTGTTTTCCTTCCAGGCGTTCGTTGTGTTGTCCATGGCGTTGGCCATTGCTTCCTGCGCGGCAGTCGACGGTTCCTCCAGAAGAGAAAAACGTGGCAGCTGGGATGAGGATCAATGGGAACCTAAGCCAAAAGTAAAAACTGTCACCAAGCATGTCCCAGTTCCATACCCAGTCGAAGTCATAAAGAAAGTGCCCTATGAAGTGAAGGTCCCATACCCAGTGCATGTCGAGAAGAAGGTTCCATTCGTCGTAGAGAAGAAAGTACCAGTTTACATCGAGAAAAAGGTCCCAGTTCACATTGACCGCCCAGTTCCATACCCGGTGAAGGTCCCAGTTGTCAAGAAGGAATACGTCGAAGTGCCAAAACCATACGCAGTTCATGTGGAGAAGAAAGTTCCAGTATACATCAACAAACCAGTGTACATCACCAAGACAGTGCCAGTGATTGTACAAATCAAAAAGAAGCCCCAGAAGAAGAAATGGTAGTGAATGATCATTTCTTAGTTGCTAAATTTGTCAGAGTAATATATGTTGTACATATGTCTGTAACAAAAGGTTGAAGTTGTATTCATGACTTGTGAAGTCGAACTCTGATTATTGCCACTGCTGCATCCTGTGGGGGTGTTTCATAATTAAACAATTTTCTCAGTTGAACCGGAAAGTATTACCACTTGACAGCTGGTGCTCTACCAACCTAATTAGCATGCAAATGAGTTGTCCTCTTCCTTGAAGTTCCACCGGAGACCATCTGACTCTGCCAGTCCTTTTCATTGGAAAGTAATTTTCAACCTGACTGAATCAGAAATTAGCTATCTACCTCTCATCTTTAAAGCAAAGTCTTCACAAAGCCAGAGGAAATGTTAGAACGAGAAAGAAATACGATAATGAGGCTAGAAAGTAATTATGTCTTAAATAAATTATCAGGAAGCATGAAGCTCACTTCCGGAAAGTGCGAAAAAAGGGAGATTCCCCTACAAAAAGCATGGGTGACAGTTATGAACTGGAACCACGGGGGAGGACAAGTGCGGAAGACACGCATCCGCCGAGTACATTCATTTTTTCACCCCTCAAACCCGGAATGAGATTCTTCATCAAAAAGTGATTTCTCTTCTGTCATCAGCAGTACTTCCGCCACCGACGACGGGGCTTCTCAGCATGTTTATTTTGTAATCGAGAGCGATATAAATTTTATTGCTGTCCCCCTTCCCCAGCTTGGCTGCATGCTTTTTCCAGGTCAAAAGATGAGTGAAGGATTCTCCCCTTCAGGAATTTGATTTCGACGACTGGTGTTTGAACAGGCGGGCCACATTCAAACCTCCGACCGAGCAATGATGGTTCACCAAAATATGTACCTTATTCTTACATGTGTTTCCTTCAACTACCACTACTATTTCATGCATTTTTCATTCGAAGGGGGAAACCGGTGGGTGGGGCCCTGGTTGAGAATTGAGTGGGAGGCTGTTGTAAAATCAACATTTCCACGCTCTGATTGAAAGCACGGCTGCCCTCCTCGTGTTTTCCCGTACTTACTGTGGGATAGAATCAGATACCCGTAGCGAAAGGATGGGACTTTTATTGAAAACTTTTTCTCGGAGGAATGGAAGAAAATTGCCTTGGTTGCATTATACGAGGCCACCCTTCCACCCTGTGAATAACAATTTAGGGACTTCAATAAATTAACATTCAGGTACGTATTTCAAAGAGAACGTTACGGAGCGAATGGTAGCTGATTGACAAGACTTTGACGTGGATTGATTGTGGCATCAAGCAGATTTACCCTTCTTGCTTCGTTTGTTGTGGCTGTAGCTTAATTGGAGGAGTAATAAAGGGTTCCTGTTTTCTAGCTCCGGAAAATGGGTCAGTGATTATGCACGCATGGGTGTCACAGTTGGCTTTATGAGTTTGACACTGAACAGTAAGGAAATTATGTCACTAATTGCCGCTGCAAAATCAAACTCTTCTAGTTCAACTAGACAGAGATGTGGTGTCTTCAGCAAATTTACTTAAGGATCCTGGGTACCTTCAGTGGCCACCATGAAAGCCTTCCATCTTGAGTGGCTGCTGCCTTTTTCTTTAACCTGGGTACTTGTCAAGTTTCTATTGACTTGCTTGATATTCTTGTTAACGCTCCACGCCGCCTTGAACCCTGGATCTGACTGATGCGATATTCTGTCCAGCGAATGCAGATTTCGTTTCCGCCCTTTCGTAGAGTGCAAGGAATCAAAAATATCTCCAAATGACAAAATGACAAACGATCAACGAGCCGAATGATAACGCTATGTCAGAAGTGGAAAGTAATAATGATATAAATTTCTTCCTTTTTTCATGACAAGCGGGCTGTGCGATACAGCTCACTCGGGGCGGTAGAAGGTAACAAGCAAATTGTTGACAAGCTGCTTCACGAAGTAAAGCCGAAGATGATACACGTGTGTTAACGGGATTTTTTTTTTTTGTTATGCCTTTTCACGATTCGGATCAAGCTATGTCATCCGTGTATATTGCAACAAAGCAGGCAAGCAATACACTCAAGTCTTTTTTTGCACGGGGAACCGTGTTGTTTCAAAAAACCGTGTAAAAAAACCGCGTTGTTTCAAAAAACCGTGTGAAAAAACCGCATTGTTTCAAAAAACCGTGTAAAAAAAACCGTGACATTTAAAAAAAAAACCGTTTAAAAAACCATGTGTGTCACAAAACTGTGTGATAAACCCGTGTTATTTCAAAATTCATCATTACAAAAAACTGAGCAGTGTGCATGGAATTTTATTCGGTACTTGTAAGTCATGATCACCTAGAACATATTCGTTCATGATAAAGTTCTTCTGGAGGTAAAGACCTTCCGAATGCTCTGTTCACACCATTTCGGAAATTTTCCTCATTTGTAAATCCTAACCATCTTGAAAGCAGCTGCACAAAGCTGCTCCCGTAGCTGAGTAATGAACAGTAAAACGTTGTAGGTACATACATCTGTGTATGAATTCCATATCTACGTGGTGCAAATGTGCAAACCGTGGTGCATCCTAATTTCAATTCATAGTGATAGCAATTTTTAACATATTAAGCAGGGTTTTAATCATACAAAGCAGATCACTAGCTTTCATGCTAAAAAGTACTGGTTTTCGAGTCAAAAGTTATTATACGTCGTTTGGTGACCCCCTAAGGTTACTTAAGTCAAAGTCTTTTTACCAGGATATTCGGGAGAATTATCAATAACGTCTTCTTACGTGCAGCCCATTCATCATTTGAAGACCACCGAAATCATCTTAGCAACAAACAGTTCGATTTATTCACTTTAATAATGAGAAAGCAAAACGACGAGGGCAAACACACTTTTGAATATAAAAACTAATTGCTTTGTAATGGAAGTTTGCTCTTGAATTAGGGTACATTACTGTACACACAAACTTGCTGATAATGGTGATCCTCAAAATTCCGCCAAGTAGCGAAAAATTAAACGATTTTCAGATTTTACCCCTCAGAATTACATTAAGCTTTGATCGATTATCTTCATCGACTTTCTCTTTTGATAGCAGCTTTATAAACAGATTTCGCGCTATTTCTGCCACATAGGTAGTTTGATAAAGCAGCTTCTAATCTAGCATCCAGAATGGCACACGCATCAAGGAATTTGTTTGCAGCTGAATTATTAACGAAAGAGATGAAGAGAATCGATCAAAGTCACTTACACCCCTTTCCTTCTAACTCCCTCAATTGTAATTGTTCGGTAGAGACAATGAACCAGGTTTGTGTTGGAATTCAGCCATTTCCACTCTTGCATGGTATAATCTAGACGTGTAGAGGCCGGAAATCGATGATTCATGCCATTTTGGAATCCAAGATGGCGGCTTCCGGTTTTGTGAAAAACTGTCAAAAAGCCAACAATATAGATATTTTCGGAACGGGAACGACGTGTAGAGGCTGGAAATCAATGATTCACGCCATTTTGGAATCCAAGATGGCGGCTTGCGGTTTTGTGAAAAACTGTCAAATAGCCAACAATATGGATATTTTCGGAACCGAGACGACATGCAGAGACCGGAAATCGATGATTCCTGCCATTTTGGAATCCAAGATGGCGGCTTCCGGTTTTGTGAAAAACTGTCAAATAGCCAACAATATGGATATTTTTGGAACCGAGACGACATACAGAGGCCGGAAATTGATGATTCCTGCCATTTTGGAATCCAAGATGGCGGCTTCTGGTTTTGTTAAAAACTGTCAAATAGCCAACAATATGGATATTTTCGGAACCGAGACGACATGCAGAGACCGGAAATCGATGATTCCTGCCATTTTGGAATCCAAGATGGCGGCTTCCGGTTTTGTGAAAGACTGTCAAATAACCAACGATATGGATATTTTCGAAACGGGAACGACGTGTAGAGGCTGGAAATCGATGATTCACGCCATTTTGGAATCCAAGATGGCGGCTTCCGGTTTTGTGAAAAACTGTCAAATAGCCAACAATATGGATATTTTAGGAACCGAGACGACATGCAGAGACCGGAAATCGATGATTCCTGCCATTTTGGAATCCAAAATGGCGGCTTCCAGTTTTGTGAAAAACTGTCAAATAGCCAACAATATGGATATTTTTGGAACCGAGACGACATACAGAGGCCGGAAATTGATGATTCCTGCCATTTTGGAATCCTGGATGGCGGTTTCCGGTTTTGTGAAAAACTGTCAAATAGCCAACAATATGGATATTTTCGGAACCGAGACGACATGCAGAGACCGGAAATCGATGATTCCTGCCATTTTGGAATCCAAGATGGCGGCTTCCGGTTTTGTGAAAAACTGTCAAATAGCCAACAATATGGATATTTTTGGAACCGAGACGACATACAGAGGCCGGAAATTGATGATTCCTGCCATTTTGGAATCCAAGATGGTGGCTTCCGGTTTTGTGAAAAACTGTCAAATAACCAACGACATGGATATTTTCGAAACGGGAACGACGTGTAGAGGCTGGAAATCGATGATTCACGCCATTTTGAAATCCAAGATGGCGGCTTCCGGTTTTGTGAAAAACTGTCAAATAGCCAACAAAATGGATAATTTTGGAACCGAGACGACATACCGAGGCCGGAAATTGATGATAGGTTATACAGTTACAAGTGGTAATAGCCTGCCGAGATTTGCTCAGCCGAGCTCGGTAGAAAAAACTAAGTGCGTGGATAGTACTTAACATAACAGGAACTGGGGTTGAAGTTGTCGCTGACCGAATAGTCAAAGTCATGAAACACAGCGAACGAAGAATACTTGTCACTGAAATCGATGTTTAGCATGGGAAGCAGTTTTTTCGAATAAAACCGAAATTCTGTCAATGATAAAGTGTTCACTGTGTTTCAGTAGCCAAGTAGAATCCAATGAACAAATTTTCGTTTACGTTATTTTGGTTTTGAACGAAAAAACTGATTTTGAATATTTGAAAATTAATGACTTTCCCTTTTGGTAATTGGCAGTTTGTCTATTGGGTTACGTAA